GTCCTTGATAGCAAGCCTGACCTGATAGCAGCAAGGGAAGCCAGGGAAATACTTCATTCATTGCTCATTTTTAAAAAGAACAACTCTCACTCTTCTCGCAAGTCAGTCAGCTGATCAAGTTAAATACCTCTAACAGTATTTTGAGCTAATAGCTTATTCAGGAACCCACATATGGGTTTAGACAGAGGCTGCACTGAGGTACCCCACCAACGTGGACCTGGATTCCCACCTCATGCCCTTCCCACACTTGTTATCTTTGTCTTTTCTTTCTCAGCCATTCTGATATCAGGGAGGGGACAGAAAACTACAGTTGGACTCACTCAGACTTTGAACCTGAAAAAGTTGGTCTGAAGCAGAGATTAGAGTGGTGGTGACCAAAACTGGTACAGTGGTGGGGTTTAGAGGTGGGTGAAGAAGGACACTAGTGTCGAGCCAGAGAGGAGGAAAGCTCAAGGGATCCATCCCGGGTTCTTGATCTTGATGAGGGAGTGGCTGTCAGATGTTATCAGCACAGTGAGTACTGCGTGGGTAATACACATGGGATTAGCTGCATTTGGCCCCTCCATGTGTGCATTAACTGCAATGGATCATGTTGCACATGGTAACCAAATATATCTGTTGACATAAAATCAATAAGTTTAAAATATAAAATTTATTTTATGCAAATTGGAGCTCTGTACATGTTTATGTATTTTCCTACTAAGAACATAGTACAGGGCGTATTTCCCTCTCCTCTCAGTGTGAGCTCCTGTAAGGACAGGAGGCCAGTCCAGCACCGTCTCCAAAACAGCTGCAGGTCTTCCAATCTCCAACTGCTGAGTCCAATCTCCAGGCTCCAACTCAGTGTGCTCTGCACAGCAGGTATCTATTTTAAAATGCCATTGCCAGATGCTGTCTAAATAAACAAGTAAAAAGAAAAGCATTCAAAGTCAGGCATATTATGACTGCACTGAATGAATGATTTCTTTAGAGTTTTACATTTGAAGAGTATTTCCATCAAGAGAGTCAATGCAGAGATTTTCTGATGATAAACCTTTAGTTCTGTTTGTTGAAGAGTGTGGTTTGAAGCAGAGATTAGAGTGGTGGTGACCAAAACTGGTACAGTGGTGGGGTTTAGAGGTGGGTGAAGAAGGACACTAGTGTCGAGCCAGAGAGGAGGAAAGCTCAAGGGATCCATCCCGGGTTCTTGATCTTGATGAGGGAGTGGCTGTCAGATGTTATCACCACAGTGACTACGGCGTGGGTAATACACATGGGATTAGCTGCATTTGGCCCCTCCATGTGTGCATTTACTGCAATGGATCATGTTGCACATGGTAACCAAATATATCTGTTGACATAAAATAAATAAGTTTAAAATATAAAATTTATTTTATGCAAATTGGAGCTCTGTACATGTTTATGTATTTTCCTACTAAGAACATAGTACAGGGCGTATTTCCCTCTCCTCTCAGTGTGAGCTCCTGTAAGGACAGGAGGCCAGTCCAGCACCGTCTCCAAAACAGCTGCAGGTCTTCCAATCTCCAACTGCTGAGTCCAATCTCCAGGCTCCAACTCAGTGTGCTCTGCACAGCAGGTATCTATTTTAAAATGCCATTGCCAGATGCTGTCTAAATAAACAAGTAAAAAGAAAAGCATTCAAAGTCAGGCATATTATGACTGCACTGAATGAATGATTTCTTTAGAGTTTTACATTTGAAGAGTATTTCCATCAAGAGAGTCAATGCAGAGATTTTCTGATGATAAACCTTTAGTTCTGTTTGTTGAAGAGTGTGGTAGCAGAAAGCCTCCAGAACCTTTTCCACAGGATTCATTGCAGAGCTAAGTGCCTCTGTCACTGCACCTCTGCTTCCTGCAGATTGGTGCTTCAGGGTGAAGGGTGACTCCCTGGCTTCAGGGGACACACTGCCTGCTGACACTGGTCCTCTGATGCATGGCCCAGGGTCTCAGTGCCAATGTCCTCTGCATTAACTGCACAGGTTTAGTTGCAATGATCAAGTGCAAATTGTGGGTGTGCCATGACCTCCTTTGCTGTAGAGATGATGAAAGCTTGGCTCCTTTCCCTGGGAGCTCAGGGAGGTGCAGGCTCCTTAGACTGGAACTGCAGAAGCAGCACTGGAAGCCTGGAAACACAGCTTCCCTCCAGACAAACAGATTCTTCTGTGGTACTGTGGATTGTTGTGAGTGTTTCTTTTTGTTGTCATTGTTATTTTATTAGTTTTTTTAAAATCATTTTTAATGTAGATGTCACCAGTTTCCAGGAGTTTTCATTATGTAAAAAAGCATACACTAATAATATCACTGATTGAAAAAACAAAAGCTATGCTTGCCCTCAAAACTTGTACCTTTCCTTCCAGCCATATCTTAGACACAGATGCCATGGAAATAGAAAATGTAAGTTTTCCCAACACTTTTGTCCTGCTGGGTTTCTCAGAGTTTCCCTGGCTGGAGAGGCCCCTCTTTGCAGTGGTCCTGATCTCCTACATCCTCACCCTGCTGGGGAACAGCTCCATCATCCTTCTCTCCCTGGTGGACCCCAGGCTCCAGACACCCATGTACTTTTTCCTGAACAACCTCTCTCTGGTGGACCTCAGTCTCACCTGTGCCACTGTGCCCCAGCTGCTGGCCAACCTCTGGGGACCAGACAAGACCGTTGCTGCCTGGGGCTGTGTCACACAGGTCAGTATTTTCAGCTGCACTAGCTGCACTGAATGCGCCCTGCTGGCCATGATGGCCATTGATCGCTATGTGGCCATCTGCCGGCCCCTCCACTACACTCTCATCATGCGTCCCTGGGTCTGTGTGCAGATGGCAGCTGTATGCTGGTCCAGTGGCCTGGCCAATGCTCTGCTCCAAGGCATACTCACCTTCCAGCTTCCCCTCTGTGGGCACCATACCCTGGGCCACTTCTTCTGTGAGGTAACTGAACTCATCAAGCTGGCCTGTGGTGACACCTCTGCTAATGAGCTGGCCCTCACCTTGATGACCATTCCATTTGGGGTGTTGGCTCCCCTGATGATCATCATCTCCTACATACTCATTGCCAGGGCTGTACTGAAGCTCCCTTCAGCTGAAGGAAGGCACAAGGCACTCAGTACCTGCAGCTCCCACTTGTTCGTGGTCACCTTGTACTTTGGACCAGGCACGTACTTGTACCTCCAGCCTTCATCCAAGAGTTCCCAAGCCAAGTTCATATCCTTTTTCTGCTGCTTTATCACCCCTGTGCTCAATCCACTCATCTACACCCTGAGAAACAAGGATGTGCAGACAGCATGGAAGAGGATCCTGCAATCCCAGGGCAGCCTGAAATCTTTAAAATCCAGATGACCTCTTCCTGCCTCCTGAGCAATCCCAGGCACACATCAATGAGCAGACTTATTACACCTGCTTTTCCTAAAGAGCATTCATGAGCTTCAAGGAAGAGTTCACAGTTTGCAACATCAGCCACCTCAGTGACTGGAAAACCCTTGGGACCAGAATATTCTATCATATTTAGTCTCATCAGCAGACATAGTCCTTTGTGGCGCCCTTCATATGTATCTGGTCTCTGTAGAGAGAATGTGCTGCATAATTCATACATCTTTGCTGGTTAGTAACTGTTTCTTACTTTAAATTTTTTTTAATTTTTTTATTATTTTGTACCAGTATCAAACTGCAGAACACAGCTGAATCCCTAGCCCTTTTCCTTTCTTCCTTCATTTATTTATTTTGTCCTTTCTTTTTATTTTTTTTTCTTTCTTTCTTTCTATTTTTCTCTGTTCTTCATTCCTTTTTCTTTTTTCCCTCATTGAGTTTATTGTTACTTTCTATGTATACAGTACAGTTACATTCATCACTGGGATCTTGTACTTTTACATGATAAATCTTGGTTCTAATTTTTTCCTCGTACAATTTTTCCCTTCATCCCCTCCACCCTTCTCTATTTGGAAACTTTGTTTCCATTTTTTCATTTTCTATATTTTTTCTTTTCCCTTATTTCCTTTCCCCTACCCTAACCACTTCTCCTACACCTTTAGCCCTTTTCTTCCTATTTCACATTGTCAATTATACAATTTGGATCATATTTACACTTTTAGTTTTGACATCAGAGAAACTATTCAGTACTAACACATGTGTGTCTTATTTATTTCACTTAAGAGTATGGTCTTCATATGCATCCATTTCCTATGAATGACTAGTGTCTCATTCTTGCGGGGTGGGCAGTACCAGAGATTGAACTTAGGTCCTTGCACTTGTGAGGCAGGAGAGGACACCACGGAGCTAAATCCCTGGCCAGTTTCTCATTCTTTATGGCTGAGAAGTACTCCATTTTATAGAAAAACCACACCTTCTTTATCCAGTCTCCAGCTGATGCTCAGTTGGGAAGTCTTAGCTATTACAAACTGTACTGCTATAAACATGGGCACACATATATCACTGTGGTATGATTCTTTTAATTCTTTTAGAAAGATACCCAGCAGAGAGATGGCTGGGTCAAATGGAACCTCTAGTCCTAGTTCTTTGAGGTATCTCCATATAGATTTCCATAGTGGTTGCACCGTCTACACTCCCACCAACAATGGAGAAGTGTTCCTTTCTCCTCACAAACCTTACAACATTTGTTATTGGTTGATTTCTTGATAGCAGCCATTCTTTCTGGGGTGAAGTGGATTCTCATTATTGTTTACATCTGCCTCGCTCAAATGACCAGTGATGTGGAACATTTTTTCATATGTTTATATTCTGATTTTACTTCTTTGTCTATGAAATGTCTGTTCATTTCAGATGCCCATTTTTGAAATGTGTCTGTCTATTTTAGAGGTCTGATTTTTTTGAGTTCTTCATATATTCTGCATAGTAGACCTTTATCTGAGGAACAGCAGGTAAACTTTTTTTTCCCCACATTGTAGGTTGTCCCTTAGCCTTGTTGGTGGTTTTTCTTGCAGTGCAAAACTTTTTTTAAAAAAGATGAAATCCCAGTTGTTGACTCTGTGCTAGTTCCCATGCTACTGAGGATTTGTTCATAAAGTCTTTTCCTATGCCAGTGTCTTCAAAAGTTCTGCCTAACTTCCAGCAAGTTTAGTGTTTCCTTTTTAGTATTTAGATCTTTAATCCACTTGGATTTTATTTTAGTGTATGGTGAATGATAAGGGTCTAGTTTTAATCTTTGGACTGTTGAAATCCAGTTTTTCCAACACCATTTATTAAAGAGGCTATTTTGCCTCCAGTGAGGATGATTGGCTCCTTTGTCAAAGATGAGGTAGCTGAGTATATCTGGAATTGTTTCTGTATCTTCCAAACTATTCCACTGATCTTCAAGACTTTTTCTTTGCCAGTATCACAGTGGCTTTCTAGTATAGTTTCAAGTTGGGAATTGCTATACCCTCTGCCATGTCTCTGTTGCCTAGAATGGCTTCAGCAATTCTAGATCTCTGCTGGTTCCAAATGAATTTTTGGATCATTTTCTCTAGCTCCATGAAATATACTGTTGGAATTTCAGTCGGGATTGCATTGACCCTGTATAGCAGCTTTGGCAGTATGGCCATTTTCACTCTGTTGATTCTTCCTACCCAAGAGCAGGGGATATCTTTCCATTTTCTTGTATCCTCTTCGATCTCTTTTTTCAGAGTGCTATAGCTTTCATTGTAAAGGTCTTTTGCTTCTTTCATTAGATTGATTCCTAGATACTTCATTTTTTTTTGGATGCTATTGTGAAAGGAACTGTTTCCCTGATTTCTCTCTCAGTGAGTCTGCTATTTGTGTACAAGAAGGCTATTGATTTTTGATTGTTGACTCAGCTACTCTATTGAATGTGTCAATTAAGTCTAGAAGTCTTTTGGTGGAGTTTTTTGGGTCTTCTACATAGAGTATCATATCATGAGCAAATAATGACACTTCAACTTTTCCTTTTCTATCTCTATTGCTTTAATTTCTTCCTCATGTCTAATTGCCATGGCTAATGTTTCCAGAACTATATTGAAGAGGAGTGGTGATAGTGGGCATCCTTGTCTTATTCCTGAATGTACATGAAAGTTTTCATTTTTGGGCCATTTAATATGATGTTGGCTGTTGGTTTTTCATAGCTTTTATCAAGTTAAGATAAAGACCATCTATTCCAATTTTCTCTCCTGTTTTTATCATCAATGGGTGTTGAACTTTGTCAAATGCTTTTTTTATCTATTGAGATGATTATATGCTTCTTGTTCTTGACTCTGTTAGTATAAAGTACTGCATGTATTGATTTAAGTATGTTGAATCATCCTTGCATCCCTGGAATAATCTGACTTGGTCACCTCCTCCTTATTTTTTCTTTCCTTCTTTTTTTTGTTCTCTCTCTCTTTCTCTCTCTCTCTCTCTCTCTCTCTCTCTCTCTCTCTCTCTCTTTCTTCCTTTCTTGCTCTTTCATTTCTCTCTTTATTTCTTGCTTCCTTTCTTTCCATCCTTCCTTTTCATCATAGTGCTACTAGTGGTACACAATAATGGTTTTCAGTGTGACCCTTCTCTAATGCATGTTATTGGCATTAGTCACATCTGTCCTCCACATCCCCCCTCTTAGACTTCATATGCCCTCTCCTGTATACCATTTCCTTCCCTAACTGTCCCTCATCTCCTATCATGTCATCTACCCACTTCAGATTCTATGTAGGAACAGAATTGTTGTGTTTGGATTGCAGTGTCTATCTGGATTTTCTTAGAATGATGATCTTCAAATCCTTGAATTTGTCTGAAAATAACCTGAATTTGCTTTCCTTTACCACAGAATAATATTTCGCTGTGATTATATGAACTTTTTCTTTTTCTATTCATCCAATGATAGGCATCTAAGTTGATTTAAAAACTTTGCTACTGTGATTAACAGCACAAGAAATATTTGTATGTATTTGTATTTTATTCTGAATTTAATTACTTTAAATTATATGACATAGAAGAATGCACTAAATCATATGTCTCCTCTATTTTTAGTTTTAGTTTTATTTTAAAAAGGAATTCACAGTGGCTATACTAATTTACTTTTCTATAAACAGCATTTAAGGATTAAATAAATCAACCTCAAATAAATGTACATGAATTGAAATTATATCTTTCGTGTTATCAGACCATAGCCAGTGAGGTTAGAAATAAACAATAAAAGATAATAGAAATTATGCAAATGTAAGGAAACTAAAAAACATACTCTGAACTAAACAATGGATTATGAAAGAAATCAAGGAAGAAAAAGACATTTCCCAGAAGTAAATGATAATGCAAGTATAACATAACAGAACTTATGACACAATGAAAGCAGTCCCAAGAGGAAGTTTGTAGATGTGAATGCTCATAGCACAAAAATAGAGTGAACTAAATAAATAAACTAATTATGCACCTTTAGGTTATAGAAACACAAGACCAATCCAAAACAAAAGCTAGTAGAAGGAATGAAATTATAGAGTTAAAATAAGAGATGAGTGAAATTGGGCCAAAAAAATAAGAAGAATTAATGAGTTAAAGAATTGGTTCATCAAATATGAACAAAAGTAAAATTAGACAAAATGTTAGGCAATCAAATGAAAAAAGAGGAAAGACCAAAAAAAAGCAATTAAAAATAAAAGTATGAAATCACAGTGGATGCTGCCAATAACAAAGCAAAACAAAACACCTTATTAACATTTACTTCACATATGTGTACACCAACAAATTGGAGAATTCAGAAGAAATGGATAGTTTTATAGATATGTACAAATTACCAAAATTAAAGGAAGAGATTTAAATTCCCAGAATAATCCATTAAAATTATAGCAATAAAATTAAAACAAAAAATAACATTAAAGCAGTAATATATAACCCACTAAGAAAATAGCAGTTCCAGATAGTTGAATTGCCAAAATAGCAGTTCTACACTGTTGTACTGCCAAAAGCTTTAGGGAAGTTATAACAGCAGTATTTTTCAAGATATTTAGTGAAATTAAAAGGCAAGAATACAACAAAGTCTTTCCTGAAAGGTACTAATGCCCAGATTCCAAAACCAGACACAGATTCAACCAAAAGGAGAACTATATTCCCATTACTTAGTGAATAGAACTGCAAAGATCCTCAACAAGATGCTGGCAAACTAAACACAATCATGAAAAAGATCATACATCACAACCAAGTAGGCTTCATCCCAAAAATGCAAGGATGGTTCAACATATCCATGCTGATCAATAAGCGTGATCCACCTCATAAAGAGAAATGAGAATAAAATCACGTGATCATCTCAATACACACATAAAAAGCCTCTAAGGAAATACGGCAATATATTATAAATAAAACCACTGAAGAAAATGGCTATTGTGATACTTCACTGAGTAAGAAATGCCCCACAAAACTGGTTCAGCAGAGTTCTGGGTGTGGAAGGCCTACCCTAGGGAGCACTATCCAGAACACTACAAAGGGGAAGCAGGAGCTGCAGTCCTTGCCTTCACCTTGGAAGTCATCTGCTGGCTTCCAGTGCAGACTCTTCAGCCTCCAGCACAGACCCTTTTCCTCCCTGATGTGGATTCCCATGTGACACTACGCTGAGCTCCAGCCTTTGAAGATCCTTGAAGTCTCTGGCATGCAGACAGCACTTGAGTATTCTTGCACACCTGATGCAGCCATTTTAAGGCAATCTTGTAAATTCTTATGCACCTTTGTATCTTGCAAGAAATCCATTTCCTTACTAAGCACTCTTTCATACTGATATAAAGGGACATTATCTCAATCTGCTCAAAGATGTTGATAACAAATCTATTGCCAACATCACATTAAATAGGAACATTGTTACAACATTTTTATAGTGTACATGGGAATTTATACTAGTAAAATCACTATAGAAATCACTGCAGAAAATTCATTTCATCCAGCCATTCCACTGGGAGATATCCTCCTAAAAGAAATAAATCCATTATATTACAGTGATACAGACACATCCATGTTTATAGCAACACAATTCAGTGTAACTAAATATTGGAATCTGCCTATATGACCACTAACAGATAAATGGATTCAGAAAATGTAGTGTTTTTACACAACGCAGTACTGCTCTGCTATAAAGAAAGAACCTCGCTGATTTGTAAGAAAATGGATGTACCTTAAGTGCCTAATGTTACTTAAAAGAATCAGAAACACAAGTTCAAATATCACATTGCTTCTTTTGTATGAGAATCCCAAAGTAAAAATACAGATAAGAGGAAGTAGAGAGGTAGATCAAGGATGGATGAAAAAGAGAGATATATTGCCAACATCACATTAAATAGGAACAGGGGAGGAAAAGCAGAATTGGGGTGTCATGAGCAGGCACCAAATCCACACAAGGAAGTAAACATCATGTATTGCAAACATGCACAGATAGGTGAGAGGAACAAGATTTGGGGGCAGAGAAGGGAAAAGACAAAATAAATGTCCTAACCAAGCAGATGATAATTCTTTCCACTCCCAGGATGTTCTTCAACTTCTTTCTTCAGTGATTTATAATTTTCAATGGAGGAATCTTTTACCTCACAGGGTAACTTTATCCTTAGTATTTTAGTGCATTTGTGCACACATGAGTGTATGTACATATGTGTCTATTGACAGTGTAATTTTTGACTATTTCCTTTCTCAGTGAATTTGTAATTAATATATCAGGAAATGATACATTTTGCATGTTCATGCAGGCTTCCTACTACTCTGCCAAATCTATAAGTTTAAAAGACATGTAATTGACTCTATAACTCTTAGCTATGTATATGTTATCTGCAATCTGGGGCAATTTTACTTTGTCATTTGCTATTTGTGTCCCTTTACTTCCCTCCTATGTGTAATTGCTCAGGATAAAGTTTCCAGTCCCATACTGAATAAGAATAGTGAGGATGGAGCTCTTCAGAAAACAGTGGGATTTTCTTCCTTAATAAAGAAGTACACAAAATATTTTAGGAGAATAAAGAACATGTACATGGACCTAGAATGCAAAGAAAACAGAAAATCCAGATTGTGTACAAACTTGTGAGAAACTTAACCCATGAAAGTTCAGAAACAGTGGAAGGTAGAAGATCTAAGTACATGCAGGGTGGACCATGGAGTTACTTTCTATTCACAATAAACGAATGAACAGATGTACATATACATCTATCATTTTTAAGCAATAGAAAAAGTGATAACCTAGATATAGATGTCATCCAGGGAGCAGAAGGCCAGCTAATTCCCCATAAAGATAAATGATTTCATGGGAATAAAGGATCACAGAAAACAGTAAGTGGACAAGAGTCCTAAACGCTTTTCTCAAAACTTCTGCTAAATGAATTTATGAAAATACATGCAATAAAATCATGGTTTGGGGCATAATTTGTGGTGGAAACGTGCTTGTAGTTCAAAGTACTTGTATATCAAGGCAAGTTTCTCCATAAGAAAAAAAAGAGAAATTCAGGTAATTCATTCCACATTTATATAAATGTGATGGCAATACTGTCATATAATAAAATTAATAAAGAATATAAATAAAAACAAACAAATTAACCTGCACTTAACTCTGCAAACCTTCAGGAGTGTTGGAGACAAGAAAGAAGAGTGTGACTTTCACTCTCACTAAGACAGTCGCTGCTATCGGCTCAATGTGTCTTTTGTTTTCATGCAACTTTAACGAGAGCCCTGTCCAGTGACATTTACCTTTGCCTCCTATTGAGGATTTTGCAGAAATGTGATGTTGCATTGTGGTTAAACACATTCATATCTCTCACTACAACATCTTACTTGGGTGGTGCTTTTCTACACAATTTCGTGCTGTCTCACACTTTGTACATCTCTCCCTAATCTCATTTGAAGTGAGGGATTCCTCTGCCTTTGCTTTTCTTCTCCTTGTCTGCAAATGATATCTCCCCCATAAGTTGTTACTGTTAACAGATGATGACACACAATCCCAGTAAATGGGAGAGAGGGAAAAGGAGAGACAGAGAGAGGGAGAGAGAGAGAGAGAGAGAGAGAGAGAGAGAGAGAGAGAGAGAGAGATGGAGGGAGGGAGAGGAGGTGTTGAGAGCAACGTGTGGCTCAACTGTGGTTATGCGACATTCAGTGTCATACTACTTGTACTGCAAGACATAACTAATTTATCAAGTTAAAATTTATTAGAAATGTTTTTTCTTTTTGCAGAACACTTGAAACAATAGAATCACAACTTCACTTTCTTGTACTTTCTTAGGTTGTCTTCGGCCAAATATTTTTCAAATAGGAAAGTTTAAAAGGAGTACATTTGAGTAGACTTTTTCTTATGATTTTTTTAACATTTAATGGATGTTTCAGAGTGTAGCAGTACATTTTTATGGGGTCCAAAGTGGAGTTGTAATTTTTTAATATAAAGTGCAGTGATCAAATCAAATCAATGATCCCATCCAGCTTCTTAAACACATGATATCTTCATAAGACCCATCCTCCCAGCAACTATGAGCTGTGTGTCCCTGTGGAAAGATTTAAACTCACTATGTTGGAGAGAGATCTGAGCACACATAGTCCCTGCAACACCATTCACAACAGCCAGGGGATGGAGCAAACACAGTGTTCATAATGACCAAATGGTTAAGACAATGCAGTTTATATACATGATAGAATGCTGTTGATCCTGTTTGCAACAACTGCAGTGGATTTGGAGAACACTCTGCCAAGTTAATAATTAAAATAAGAAATAAGTTAAACAGAGGGAGATGCAGAGTATTGTCTCTCTTGCATAGAATAAAGCCATTCCATTTAGAGGATTATAGTTTTGGTTGCCAGAAATTGGAATTGAGTGAAATAGGAAGACAAAATTAAAAGACTAAAAAATTCACTTCCTTAAGATAATCAGTTTAGAGCATTTTAAATATCTCTGCACATCCTGTGTTTGTTTTAAGTATATTTTCCTTGAAGTCTGGAGCTGAATATTTGGTATATTCAGTTTCTGAAATTCTCTCTGCAACTAACTTCCTGGTTATATTCAGAATCCATTTTCCAAGTTAAGCAGTTTGATAAGTCTCACCTTTGATCTAATGTCATCTAGGAGCTTTTGAGTTGATTTCTCACAGTCTTTTACTATTTTTAAAAGATCTCTTTTTTCATGGTCACTGACAGCCATTATATGTTCTATATTGGATATTCTGCCTTCACATTGGCTCAATCTGCTGTGTATACTTTCAATAGAGATTTTAATCTCCTGGATATAAGTATGAATATGTTTCACTGATTCCATTTTTTTCACATGTTGGGCATCCACAGTTTCCATTTCTTTCCTGTGCTGAGCATTTATGACTTCCATCATTGTCCTGAACTCATCTATTTTTAAATCTGTTTCTCTTCCACAGACACTAGTAACATTTTTTATTCTGCTCACCATGTTTGTAGCAGTCAGGGAAATTATTTTGGTTTTTAATTTTTCTAGATCCTTATTAATCTGTTTTTTTTTTACTTCCTGTACTATCAGTTCAGGGTGTCCAGGTGGTTAATCTTCTCCAAAGTTTTCTGAGGGGTAAAAATTAGCCAGATGGTGTTCTTGAGACAGGGCATAGACAGTGTGGGACACACCCTACAGTGAGGTTCATGATAAACAGGATGCCTCCTGGATCTTGAAGACAATATTTCCTTCACATCCTGACATGAGCCTAGAAATCACACTTCTAGACCTCTGATGTGAGCCCTAAAACATGTGCTCTATGTGGTTTGGGGAACGCAAGGTGACCATTGGTGATTATGACATCATTAGCATTGTGGATTCCACACTCCCCCTCCAGCAGCCTTAGCCTCCTACACTGCTTCCAACACAGCCCATATAAAGGCAAAAGTGCTCTTCCCACTGTGAGGATGGAGATTCCCAATAGGACAGAGTCCCCTCAATCCCACCACTAGATACAGCAAAGTTCCCAATAAAATCTCAAAACCTAAGCAGACAGGGCCACTCCACTCAATCCCACTCTTGAGTTTTCTCATCAGCCCACTCCCCACCTGAGCACTGTATCCTCCTTTAACAAAGTCCTGTGTCCTTACTACTGCTGTGTGCTCTGCTCTATCCCTTGTCTGTAACTCCAAGAGCCAGATTTATGAAGTAAGACTGACACCAGATTTTGGTAAGAGCCTCACATTCTGAAGAATGCACACTTCAAGGAAATAGCACTGACAAATGCAGTATTCATAACCTGCTATAAAGTTGTCACCCGTGAGGGTAATCAATGTCTAACCAGCTAAAAGTCTCCTCCATTTTCTACAGTAGTGTTGTGTTTCCACATAAAGTGTGCTGATTTAAATGCAACTTTGAAAGTTTTAGGTGAAATTCCCAGGAAGTGGCATCACTCTTTCCTGTGCACAATTTCTCCTAGAGCCATGTAAACTGCATGATGTAGCCGCAGACTCCATAACCATCCATCTGTACGGTAAGTTTATTGTTCCAGGGTCTTGTCATCATCTCATGCAGGCGAGGTGGTTCTAAAGACAAACAAGAAGAGGGAAATCCCCGTAGTGTTCATCTCCACAGAGGAGGCCCTGAGTTAATGGTCTCCCTGCACTCTCAGGTCTCAGAGGAGCCGAGCCAGGCACCCTCAGGAGCCCTCTACTCATCACTCTCTCTCCTGCCTGGGTTCTGATCACTCCCACCTCGCTCTCCATGAAGGCCAGGCTCTGAAGAGAAGCTTCCCCACTAGAGCCAGCCCAACTGTTCATCACTGGCCTCTTACCCAGGTGTCTCTTCCTTCTTCACCTCAAGGTGAGTGGAGACTGGGTTGTCCTTGAGCAGGCTGCTAACCACCTTTTCCTCCATTGAATCACTCCAAGGACTGTGGTAGAGATTGTCTCACCTAATGTGCATGAGGTGTTCTTGGTAATGGGGAGATAAAATCATACGAACCACAATGAATTCTTTAAGGGTGAAATCTTCAAAAGCCTACTTATTACTGCCTACCCCATATCAACACACAAGGTTTCAGGCCCACGATAAAATGAAGACTGAAAAAGTAAACATTGTAAAAGTAAGTGGCAAAGAAAAAAATAGCAAAATTCTGCAGAGAAGAGAGAAAATAACGAACACCTGGCATGTACTCTAGCATGCATGAGGCATTGCCCTGAATATTAGGTAAAACACAGCAAAAGGGAGCGCAAAACATGTCACTCTGTGTTCTGAACAATGAGAGACAAACAGTTTGGGAACTGTTAAAGTTTATGCAACTTCAGAGTGTTGGGCTAAAATTGGGGGGAAAATTGGGCAAAGTTTGTATTACAAGTGAAGGAAATGTCACTTACCAAGTCTTCTAGAAATTAACCACCCATGAGTCCAGACATTGATGATGCCTTTATTAAATAGTTGCTACAGACCAAACCATGGCACTGGGAAGGCAGACAACTTCAACTTCAGTCCAACTGCCAGAGGGCTCTCAGGCAGAAGGCAGGGGGTCATGACGCTGTCGGGACTGACCGTAGTACTTGGAGGCAGAGGAGACTGCGGGACAGAGCAGAGGGAGTGACGCTGGTGCAGGGGTCACAGAAGTCTCTCTGCAGCCGTGGGCTGGGTTAGAGGCACAGGCAGAAGGCAGCTGTGCAGGGCCAGGCTGAAGTCTTTTTATAGGAGGTGAGGCAATCAGTGCATGGGATTCCTCCTCCTTACTGCCTATCTCCTGCCACCAGACAAGGGAGAGAAGGCAGGGAGGAAGGGGGGCAGTACAGGGCTCACATCACAGGCGGGGCTGCTGCCACGTGGATGTCACCAAGAGGACAGCACTGACTGGCCACTTGCGCTCTATCCTTTCTGCTGTGATAAAAGGTGGAATAATTCACTCCAGTCACACAGGCAACCCTGAAGGAGTGAGTACAGGTGGAATTAGTGAATTAGTGCACAGAGATTTCAGCCTTCAAGCAAGAAGGTGGGCAGTGCCACCGGGTGTGAGGCTGGGTAGGTTTTAGGGCACAGAAGGGTTTCTTCTGGTGACTGTGGTGCTTGCTGACCAATTGAACTAGAGCTAACTCTAGCACTGCCAGATGTATTCCTGCTCATTTGTGATGGTCACTGTTCCCTCCAGGGCCTGAAGCGTGGAAGAAGGTGAGGAACAGTTACGGTGCAAGCTCTAATCTAACTCAGGCCTCAGGCCAGGCAGGAGGGACATCCTTTGTAAAAGAATGCTTATTTTTATATTATTTTAAAATTTTTAAAGAACTTTCTCCTTGAGCTATGGTTTGGCACAGGCCATGCAGTAGGATGCTATGTGCCTGGTTCACAACATAGAGGCCCCGAGCCCTGGGTCTGAGACCTCATAAGTGAGTAAAATGTGTTACATACTGAGGTCTGTGTTTCCTCGTTTATCTGTAGTGGGCACAGTGTGCTACTTTGGCCCTCCTCTGTCCCTCAGGCCCACTAACTGGGCACAACCTGCCCAACAGTGAGGCTGTTTGGTGGGTACCTGGGGGCTTTAAAACAATAAATGATAGAGCCGGGCATGATGGCACACACCTCTAATCCCAGCACTTGGGAAGCTGAGGCAGGAGGATCGCAGTGAATTTGAGACCAGCCTGGACTACATAGTGAGTTCCAGGTCAGTCTCAACTATATAGTGATACACTGTCTCAAAAACAAACAAACAAACAAACAAACAAATGAAAAAAACAATGAATGGTAAAATGAGGGCTGGGATTCCAGGGGATCCTCAGCCGGGCCCTGAGGAATGCAGGAGGCTGGGTGTGTCTGGAAACAGGACCTTCCCAGTGGCCGGCAGTGAGTCAGATACTGACATGAGGAGATCGGAGGTTGGCCTGGAACTCATTCCTGACTTCATGAGGAGTTGGTGTCTTTAATTCTCAAAAGCTGGTGACCCAAGTAGAAACAAATCAGTCATCATGGTGCTATACACAGTGAGATCACTTGAAAAAGTAACTTCTGCTTTTTGGTTCCAGGTTCATTTCATGTAAGATAATGAAGTTCAGCTGCATTCCCATTAATGATAGGATTTCCTTCTCTAGGGTAGAATGTCATTCAGTGTTTATCATTCACTGCACTTTGCCTTCCACTCACCTATGCCTGGATCTATATTTTGACTGTGATGAATAATGCCTCAGTGACCATGAGAGGGACCTGTTTCCACAGCATCCTGGATTCATTCCTGTGCACACCTCCCCAGGAGTGAGACTGCTGTGTCACAGAACAGTTCTATTAAAATCTCTTGATATGTTCTAAATCTGTCTCCCTAAGGATCAAAATTACCTTCCCAACAACATCATGCCTCTTTTCAACATTCCTGTCAATGTCCGGCATCTTTGCCCTTCTTGTAACAGCCCCTCCAGCCCAAGTGAGTTGAGAAAGATAAGTAAAGTCTGCTCTCACCCACATGCAGCTGAAAGAGTTAATCTTCTAAAGCTGAGTGCGGAGTGGAGGTGGGCAGAGGCTCAGAGTGGTTTCTTTGGGGATGCAGTGAGGGAAGCCACGGGTTCATAGCCACAGCCACACAGGAAGGAGGAACAAGATCTCTGGTATGGCACAGGACCTGTGGTTAGTGGTGATATATCGTACCCTTGGACAGTTTAAGACTGTGGATGTTAAGTATTTTCACCACAAAAACAACTACAGGGGATAATGCATAATTCAAATCACAACATTTAACTATTCAACTATTTAAATATTCTCCAAAATGTTTTGCTGTTTATTAAAATGCCTATAATTTTATATCTCTGTTTACAATAAAATTTGGAAAAACAACTTTCCTTTATGCAAGGTTCATGCTTTATGGATTTTTTAATGAACTCTGCCTCTTGAATACATTTGTAATTAAAATTCTCTCTTCCAACTGCAGACTCATTTCCAGAATAATACTATTTCTGGGTAACAGTGGTGCTGTCACCACCAGACTTTCAATACAGCCTCTCTAGTGTACACGTCCATACTCCTGTTCGATACATGCTAGAAATTCCAAAGTAGAACAGTTTAAATGTTTCCTAATCAAAGAAACAAATCCAGACATACATTGGAAATAGAAAATGCTAATTTCTTTGATGACATGTTATAGACTATATTTCCACTAATTAAGCAAATCCCCAAGGTTTTTTCATTTCTCCAGTGATCTATTGTTCTTACCTGTGTGATCAAAGAAAAAGTTCAGGATTTCCCAGCCAAGGGTCCCACCTCCCGTAAAGGGACAGTTACATGTGAGCAGCATCCCAATGGGGTGTGATCCCCATGGCCTGGCAGACCCGTGTGTCCTTCAGGATTGGTGTGGAAAAGCAGCAGGGGTCCTTGGCTCTGTCATAGCAATACTCTTACCTCCCTGTGCATAGCTCACTGTCTCCCAATTTCAGGGTTTTCTGTATTTGACACACACCTGTGCCATTCTATCACCCCTTGTTTAAGTGCATATCCTGCAGGAGCTGTGCCAATCCTTGGCCTACAGATGAGGACCCTGGAGGCTCACTGGGAGGCTAATGTACAGCAGAGGGGTCTCAATAATATTTATTATTATTAGGAGGAGACAATAATATTTAAATACTATCCACAAAACTGCTTTTCTGACACAGCATCATGTGTTAGTCATTCTGCTTGTTTTTCTTACCTGTTCAGTTCATATTCACAAATACCATCCTTTGGTAAAGTAAAGAAATCATCAGTTTTCCTGTATGTGCTGTTCCCATCCTTGTTGTCCACTTCATCTTCTGTAGACTCCTGAGAGGTAGATTTTGTTACATGATAAGGCTGACAGCGAAGGTGGTGACATCCTCTGGATCAGTTCCTCAGCTGTCACATCCCCTTTGTCTTGTTGGCACCACGGATCAGACAGGATTACTGCAGGTGTAACCACTGTGCCCATAGGTCTGTACTGCTTATCCAGATATATACTCAGTGGCCGCTTCTGACAGCCAAACCTCCCTCTCCAAATCATCCCACAGACGTGTTTGTTTAGATACAACCGGAAATTTTGCCGTCACTGAAGACAGGGCCTCCCTACTTCTGCCAGAGAGGAGAGGGGAACTCAACTCACTCAGTCTGTGCAGCTTCTGTTTGTCTCATTACAGAAAAATATTTCAGAAGTGTCCGTGAGAGACAAGGCTGAGGTAGTAGGCAGAGCTAGAAGTAAAAACACGGGGAAAAGACTTCAAATTGAGGGTCTGACGGGGCACAGAACTCACAGAGTGGAATAGAACCAACAGTGGAAAGAACCCGCAGACTAGAGGAGAGAACAATGAACACCGTCAGTACTGGAGTCAGAGAGATCAAAGGCTGCAGAAAAGGCAGCGAGTTTCAAGGACGTAGGAAACACAATGAACCCAATAACACGGCGTCGGGGAAGAACTGAACTATGGAGAAGAGGGACAGAGAAAACTGAAAAACAGTGGCCAACAACTTCCAGATGATGAAGGGTGAGAATATACAGAAAGTCAACAACAGTGAGAACGCACTGAAAGAGATCCTCACCGGACGTAAAGGTCCAGAGAAGACCGAACACGAAGAGCGAACTGTGCAAGCAGCGAGAGTGAGCCGACTTCTCAGGTGCAAGAAATCTTCAGTGAGAGCCTGGGAGGATTAACACCATACATTTTATCACCAGTGAGAAGATTAAAAATCAGAGCCCTGCGGCACTAGATGGATATGTAGAATGCTACAGCTGCCCTAGAACACAGCAGA